TACTACTTTTTTTTAATTAATATTTCAAAATATTAAAAACAAGAAATCATTACTACTAGTACTTTTTTTTCTTTCTAAAAACTACCCCCTGACGGTTTTAATTAGTCTGAGTGTTAATTAAATGACATTATTTAAAGAGAGTAAAGGGTAATTAGTATAGACAAGTACTCTTAAAGGGTGTGCAAAAATCTGAAAATAAAGAAAATATGAACCCGATTTTATAAAAGAAAATATTTTATAGCGGTTAATTGGTTGGAATGCCTATTTTTGTTGTTTCTTGATATCTTTTTGTTTCTGGTTGTCAATAACAGTGGTGGAAGCACAACTCCAACAACAGGAACCACAAATCCATCAACAGGTGGCACCAGCACCGGGACCGGCACCGGAACCGGCACCAGCACCGGGACTGGCACAGGAATGGGCACTGGAACAGGCACAACCACAACAGGGACTAATCCAGTATTTGGACTTGGACCAACAGGAAGTGGCATGACCGACACCTCCGCGGGGACTACTACTCTTCATCAAAGCAGCAGTATCTTTTTCACAATGGCCCTTTCGTTTACAAGCTTTGTATACTTGAGGGTTTAAAGAAACAAGAATGGATGGCAGTGAATGATTGAAAAAAGGTTGAAAGGAATTTAAGGGACAGTTGAGCATATGCCACGGCAATATAATTTGCATGAATGATTCTAATTGAATAGAGTTTTTGGGTAAGTAGGGGAGAAATCATGTGGACACTTCTTCCACTTGTTTTTTTTTTCTTTGTTGTTGCATCAAAAAGTTGGAACTGGATTCCCTTTTAAAGGGGAATGCAATGTTGTTTATTAGTAGTAACTGTAGTAGTGTAGAAGGGCCTAATCTCTTCTTTTTAGATTTTTCCCAATTTGTATATCTGGAGAGTAGAGATAGGCTGTACTATTTTTTATTCAAATATTGTTACCAATTACTACTCGCTACCCTTCTCCTTCTGTACTCTTTGTTAGGAGTAATTGATTTTCTAGCTTTCTGCGTCTAAATTAAGATTTTAAGGGATCGTTTGATATGATGGATAAGCAAAAAATAATTACGTGATAAAAAATTAGTATTGCATTATTCCTTGTTTGGTTAGTAATTTTGAGATAAGTTATTTTAGGATAAAGCAGTAAAATAATCAATAAGAAATAATATTAGAATAACTAATACAAGCATAATTAATTACAATATAATTAATCCCAACATAACTTGTCTTCCAACCAAACTTGTCTTTAAAGCTGAAGGAATCTTGGTTTTTACCTTTGTCTTGTAAGTTAGAGGTGAATGGTGTCACTGAAATTTGGTAAGTTATTTACAGTGACAGGAAACAAGGTTACGTTAATAGAGACTAATAATGTGTGCAAGAACTTCAAACTAGTTTTGTAGTTTGAAGCGGAAGGAACTTCAAACATCTTTAACTAAGTTAAAATAATGGTAGTACTATTGTCTTCAACTCAGTGAAGTTAAAAAACAATCTTAAGAGAATATGGTAGTACTATTGTCTTCCACTTAATGGAAATTTCTGACAAGACATAGAGCTAACCTGACTCATCCCATGTGCCCCAAAGAGAGAAAACAAAACCAACTATACATCAGTCTCTCAATAGCATGAGAAAAGTATAGCTAATGATAAATGCACACAGTCAATATTGGCCCCAGGCATAATAATTCACTTACAATAAATTTCTCTTCTTAATAATTAGAATTAATATTCTAAAACCCTCTTAAATTATTATATGTTTGTCAATTTCCTACTTAAACTATTCGGTCTTCCTAAAATTCCCTGAACTATAGTACCCTTCATATTTAAACTCCTCCGTTGCTTATCTGGCATAACGTGTGCACACACTCGCTTGGGAGCGCGTGACAACTGATAAAAATCTTCAAAATGGGCCACCTGACAGAATGTAATGGCTAATGAACCTAACCCTCTTCCTTATTTCCTTAATATCCACCTTTCTTCCTCATTTTTCACTTTTCTCCATTATTTTCACTTTTTCTTCAATTGTCCATATGGGTTCCCTCTTGAAAAATCTCCCTCTCTTGTTTCCTATGAAATAATTTATTTACTTTTTTTTTGTCTTCTTTCATGTCTTACACATATTATTGAAAGAACACCATTTAAATCTCCTTATTTAACCAACACCTTATTGAAGAGAATAAAGTTGAATCTCTTAAACCTTGTTTGTATAATTTAGAATTAGAGAATGTAGTTGTTGGGCGATTAGTTTCTTATTTGCTAAATTTTATTTTCTGTAATCTTGTTTATGTAATATAAGATGATTTTGCAGAAATGTAGCATTATATGCCTTTATTTTTTTTATTGTGCTGCAAAGTGAATGTAAATAAGAAATTATTCAATTGGAGTCTAGTATTAAGTACAATCACAGTTAAACCTAAAATTATCCCATTACATTAGTGTAACGACCCGACCGGTCGTTTTTAGAATTTGCATCTCGTTCGGCGGCTTAAGGTCTCGAGCATCTTTGTATTATGTGTTATGACTTGTGTGTATGGTCAAGTTCGATTTTCGGATGATTCAGGGTCAATTTGGAAGAAGAATTCTTATTTTAGAAGCTTAAGCGGTAAGAGTTTACCGGAATTTGACTTTGGTGTAGACGACTTTGAAATGGCATTTTGATGATTCCAATAGTTTCGTAAGGTGATTTTGTATTTAGGCGTGTGTCCGGATTTGGATTTGGGGGTCCGTAGGAAAATTTGAAGCATTTTGGCGAAAAATTTAAAAGTTGAAGTTTAGGAAGGTAAGAGGTTTGGCCGGGAGTTGACTTTATTGATATCGGGCTCGGATTGTGATTCCGAGAGTTCGATTAGCTCAGTTATGTCATGTAACGATCCGACCAGTCGTTTTGAGCATTTGCAGTTGGCTCGGTGGTTTGCGGGCATGAGTAGCTCCGTATGATATATTATGACTTATGTGAATCGCCGGTTTTGGTTTTCAGGTTATTCGGAATTGATTTGGAAGAATTAATTTCATGGTTTAAGCTTTAAGTTGGAAGAGTTGACCAAGCTTGATATTTTAGTATTTGACATCGGATTGGAGTTTTGATGGTTCCGTTAGGTCCGGATAGTGATTTTGGACTCGGCGTATGCTCGAATTTGTATTTGGATGTTTCTAGAAGGTTTAGGCACAAATTGGCAAAAAATTAGAAATTCGAAGTTTTGGGAAGTTCATAAATTTGACCAAGAGTTGATTTTGATGATATCGGATTTGGATTGTGGTTCCGGAAGTTGGAATAGCTTCGTTATGTTATTTGGTACTTGTGTGCAAAATTTGGGTTCATTCCAAGTTGATTTAATATGTTCCGTCGCGAGTTTTGAAAGTTGAATGTTCTAGGTTCATCTAAGTTTGATTTGCGGTGTGATTCGTCGTTTTGATATTTTTATGTGTGATTTGAGGCCTCGAGTAGGTCCGTGTTATGTTATTGGACTTGTTGGTATGTTCGAACGTGGTTCCGAGGGGTTCGGGTGAGTTTCAGAGTGGAATCAGTGCATTTTTCCTTTATGTTTGAGTGCTGGTATATACTGGATTGCCGGTGCAGATTGTTCCTTCTATGCGATCGCAAGGCAAGTAACATGATCTCAATGTGCAATAGAGGGAGCTGGGGCAATTTCTTCTACGCGTTCGCCGGTGTAGTACCGCGTTAGCGGGGGTCGAGCAGCTTGTGTAATGCGGTCGCGTCCCTAGAAAGGCGATCGCATATCTGCGTGGGTGTTGGGCGGTGATGTCTTCGCGTTCGCGTAGCTTTATTCTAGCGGTCAGCGCATTTGCATGGTTTTCTCGCGAACGCATTGGGTATCTTGAGCAGTGCCATTTTCTCTTCTTCGCGATCGCGTGGATTGTTCCGCGACCGCGATGCATGTGACTGTCCATTGAATTATAAGTACTTTATTTCGGGGGTTTCGACCATTTTAGCATATTTGGAGCTATGGAGCTCGGATTGAGGCGATTCTTGAAGCGATTTTTACCATATGGAGTGGGGTAAGTGCTCTCCACTCATTTTTTATTATATTTCATGATTCTATCTTCGTTTTTGGTATTTGATTGAGTATTTAAAGAGAGAAATTGAGGGTTTTGTCTAAAACTTCATAAAGCAAATTTTCGAGTTTTGAACATCGATTCAGAGTCGGATTTAAGTGATACTAGTACGGCTGGACTCATAATTGAATGGGTTATCGGATTTTATAAGTTTCATCGGGTTCCGAGGTGCGGGCCCGGGTTTGACTTTTTGGCCGATTTGGGCTTTTGATTAAAGATTTGACCTTTATCATTTGAAATTGTTGTGAGCACGTGATTTTTGCCCTATGAGGAATACTCCTATAAATCAAAGAAATAGATTTTTTTCCAATTGCTTGCAATTTTATAGGATTTTTGTAGGAATTTGTGTTAATTGTTTGCATTTTTGTGCATGTTTACTTTTATTGAAATCATGAAAAATACCAAAAATACCATGCATTGCATTTAGATTCTATTTCCATGTTTTTAGGATTAATTAATTAATTAATTGCTTTATTAAAAATGAAATCACAAAAAATGGCTCGTTTTTGCATTCTTAGCTTTTAATTTGGATTATTAATGTTCTCTTTAATTTAGGATCAATTAGTTTTTATATATTTTATAATTTGATAATTAGTTTAATTTTACAACTTAGATTAATTAGAAATTAATTTAGGGTTTTTAATTAAAGAAAAAAAAAAGAAAAATAAAAGAAAAAGGAAATAAAAGGTTAACTGAAAAGAAGAGATTTGTTTTGAAATTGGGCCATTTTAATGCCAAGATCCGTTCCCAAACCTTACCCAGGTCCAGGCCCAAAACTGACCTTACCCGGTCCACCCCGTTTAAACACCAAACGACCCCGTTTTTGTGCTCCTACATCACGACCGTTGGATCATTATGATCCAACGGCTCCGAACTGATCAATCCATCCCAATATAACTGTCCGAATGTCCCCCCCCAACCCCAAAAACACCTCTCATTTCACCCTTATCCCTGTCTCTAAACCGAACCCTAGCCGCCCCCAAATCCCTCGTCGGCTCCGTTGTGCTCCGCCGCCGGAAATCGCCCCACGGCGGCGTCGACACCCCAAACCCTACCAAAATTACACCCTACAACCATCTTTCCCTCCCCTTTCCAAATCCCTAAACCATTTCCCTCGAATCTTCATAAAACGGCTCGAATTTTAGATCTAAATCGGAACCTAAAAACCCTAAATCACCCAATCGACCCCAAGTTCACACCCTATATCACCAGGCCTCCCTAAACCCAAAACCCCCAACAATTTCCCCAAATGACCCTCGGAACTCGTCGAATCTCGGATCTAGGGTTCGACCTAGTTTCAGCGTTTTGGGATTTTTTTGAAGTTTCTGCTCGTTTTGGCTGGAAGTTTGCCCAAATAGGTTACTCTTGACCGGAGTAGCCATTTGGGTCAACTTCGAGCCTTTCGAAGCATCTTGAAGCCTGGCCAGTCTTCCGCCTTGTTTTCTTGGTCGTTTTGCTAAATTCAATCGGTAAATCATTGACCTCTACTCACTGTTTCTGTTTTTTATTTTGTTTTTGTTTTCTCTTCTATTTTTCTTTCTTTCTTTCTCTTCTTCTCAATCGGTTTTGTTTGCATGATAGTTTAGAACGCCTATCAAGCGAGTTTTATTCATTTTTTTAGTTAGTCAGTTGTGTTAAATCATTTTTAGCATGTTTAAGTTCTTGGTTAATTAAAATTTGCTTTAGGGTAATTTAGAATGAGCTCAATTAGTTGTTTTAGGATAATTCGTAATAACTAATTAGTTAATTGAATGTTTGATTCTGATTTGTACCATTTTTCTTTTTCCCTTTTACTTGAATGTTTTGATTCTGATGATGGCTGGATAAAAATGGTGTTCAGCCTAGGCCTGAGTTAAGTATTACACTTGGGCCTGTTTGAGGCCATTTGTCCACGACTTGGGCCTGTTGGCCAGGCAATTGGCCCAAAACTGAAGGTGAAGGTTCTAGAAAGCGTACAGCTGCCTAGACTAGGTGAAAAGAGCATGCGGAAATATCTGAATATGGACAGCTGTCCCAAGGCTGCCTAGTTTCAGTTATAGAAAGATTCCTTTCCTGAAATCTGGGGTGGTGTTTAGAAAAAACAGGCTTAAATATAGGGTCTGAAATGAACAAAAAGAAAATGAGGGAGGGGTAATAGTAAGAGGAAAAATCAAGTTCAGTTGCCCTAAAGCCCTCCTATAAGAAGCTCATTTTCCTGAATTCTAGGGCAGAGATCAGAACACCTAAAAATAGAAAAGCGGCTGAAAAATCTTTTTTCTGAAGAAAACTACTAGAGTTTTGAGCTGGATTTCTTCTTTGGGAAAAATTTTGGAAGTGGTCTTTCTGAGGATTTTCTGGTTTTCTAAGCTGAAAGGTGGCCGGGTTTTGAGGCTGTTTAAGTTGATTTTCACAGCTGTTTCCTCGCTGTTGAACCTGTTATTTCCTTGCTGTCCTAAGCTGATTTTCAAATCCATTTTTTGGTTAATTTTGCTGTAACAGGTATGTATTGCTGAACATCTTATTGGCCATTGAGTCATATACATGAAGCCTTGGATCATTTGCTGCTATTATTCCCAAATGTCACATGAAATGTGGATTAACATATAGATTCTGATTTTGTTTTGTCTTGTTATTCTGTTTTTCTTTCTTCTTCTATATCTTCTTTTCAACATGTTAGAGTTTAGCTTAAAAATGTATGTACTAGTTACACTACGTCGTGTATGATTTCATTCTGTGAAGACTTTTTGAGGTTTAGCTTAATAGCATGGTTCCTTTCCAAGTAATGAACTGTAGCATGATATCCTGGGAAGTATTTGGTGTATGTGAGTTCCATTGTAGAGGATTTGATTTGAAGCTCTTATTTACTTTGACGTCCTGTTAGTCATGAGATTCTGATTAGCTTACTGTACTTCAACTGTGATAGTATCGAATCACCAATACTCAAATAGTTAATGATTCAAGTTTATTTTCTTGCCGTGTGATTAATGTATGAATGATGTTGGAAAAGTTATGAAATTAGTCATATGTTTCCTTTGTTTACTTTCGCCATGCTTCGATCTAATTAAGACCTGTTCGTTGATTCGTTGCCTTTTGGGGCTGTTACTGTGAATTTGGTTGTTTATTAAATTAGATGATTAAAAGTGGTATTTCACTGTCATTGGGCCTAAGGAACATGTAAAATGTTTTATATACATAAGCTATGGGGATCAATGAAGGTCTTCTCCATTATGGGCCAGTAGAGACCTATTTAGGCCCAATCCGAGTTGAGTGTGATAGCCTGGTCCAAGCTAGGCTTGGGGTGCCCCGCCTCTGTTTTTCTTTCATCTTTTTGGGCTTGATTGCAAGCCCAACGGTTTTCAGTGTTGGTGCTTTTTTTTTAAATAGCATGACAAGCTTCTTATTTGGGCCCAGTGGTTCAGAAGGTTAAAGGCATGTACCAACTTTTAAACATTTTAGCTGTAATCCACAGCCTGCCATCAACCTTGGAATTAACTTTAGGAATGCATGAATCTCATAGTTTGCTTTAGGCACGTAAGTAAATCATCACAATTACGGGTATGGTTCCTATGGCGTGGTTGTGATACTTAATCTCAAATTAGTTTTAAATATGAATATTCGTAGTTCATGTAGTTGAATACTTCCCTTTAATAAAATGAGGCGTGCCATTTATACAATTGGATCACATAATCTATGGCCCTCATATTAATTATTTTAACTCGTGTAGAAAATGCCTTGAACTTTCGTAGTTTGCATGAGGCGCGTTAATTAAATAAATTGTCATAGCTACGGGTACGGTTCCCGTGACGTAGTTGTGATGCTTAGTTTCTAAAATCCGGGGTTCATGTGACCCCGTCACAATTTAATCTTGTTAATAAAATAAACATGTTGTGGATCGTGGGTACGGTTCCTGTCACATGATTCGCAATGTGTGACCAAATAATTAGTTGTATAACAATTGGATTATTAAAAGCGGTTTAAAAGGAATAAAATGCACATAGGTTTTAAAAAATGTGTTAAAATAAGATAAATAGGCCAATAATAATAGTTGAGTGGCCGTGCTAAAACCACGGAACCCGGGAATGCCTAACACCTTCTCCCGGATTAACAGAATTCCTTACCCGGATTTCTGTGTTTCGCGGACCATAAATAAGAGTCAAACTTCCTCGATTCGGGATTTTAAACCGGTGACTTGGGACACCATAAACTATCCCAAGTGGCGACTCTGAATTTAAATAAATAATCCCATTTCGATTATTGTCACTTTAATTGGAAAAACTCCCTATACCCTTTGGGGTGGTAAAAAGGAGGTATGACAATTGTTTCCTTTGGTTTTATTTGATGTATTTGAGTTGCTTTTGGCTAGTTTTGAGCAATTCGGAGGTTGGTATGCGCGGGATGGAATTATTGAAGCATCGTTTGGCTTGCTCGATATTGGAATTGGCTTGTTCGAGGTAAGTAACACTTCTAAACTTGGTGCTGAGGGTATGAAACCCCGAATTATGTGTTATGTGATTGATGTTGAGGTGCGCACATGCTAGGTGACGGGCGTGTGGGCGTGCTCCATGTAAATTGTGATTTAGTCGATTACATGAAACTGTGTAGCTATCTTATTTGAACATTTCTACAGTACTCCATGTGTTAGAGCACCTGAGCTGTAATTGATGCTAGAGATCATGTTTAGGCTATATGCTGGTATCATTGGGACCTATAGTGGTCGTTCTTTGTTGTTGAGTTGTTTGCTTAATTTCAGTTATGTACTTAGTTGCATTCATCGTTTCATATCATATCTCAGTCTCTGTTATTGTTTATTTTCACATCTCATATCATTGATTTGGGCTGCTCAGCATGAGTGTTGTGAGCCGAGAGACTAGAGAGATTGATGACTAAGTGAGGTGGAGGGCCTGATTGTGAGGATATTGATATTACAGCACGTGAGTTGTCCGTGCAGCACATGAGTTATCCGTGTAGATCCAGATATTGATACTATAGCACGTAAGTTGTCCGCGCAGCACGTGAGTTGTACGTGCGGATTATAGCGCTTGGGTTGAAGTATCACCTCTGGAGTCTATACACACCCCCAGTAAGTGCAATTGATTATATTGAGGGATGGATCTTCCCTGGGCTGGATTGACCATATACAATACTGAGTGACTGAGCGTGTTGAATGATTGACAATGATGAGTGGAAAGTGTGAGACAGTGAGATCGAGTACTCTGAGAGTGTGAGTACATGAGTTCATCTCTGAGATGTATTGCATTTGACATGCGTACTTGACATACATGCACAGAGATGCATTTCTTTCTATTACCCGGTTTTGGTAACACTCATGATTTCACCTGCATATATGTAGGCATAGTGATGTACTTTCCTCATGCTATGTGAAACTGGAACATGTTATTTATTGTTGAAAGGTTTTTGGAAAAATTCATAGTTTTCAAACTTACTCCTATTTTAGGCGATTTCGATAAAAGATTTGGGTTTTCACTGATATACTGAAAAGCATGCTTATTTTCTGGAACTGTGAACGAGCTTAGCATTTCATCTCTGAGTTACTTCTTTTACTACTTGCATTATGTTGTTATGAACTGTTGTTGGCTATTGGTGTTGGACTCCGGCCTTTGTTCCAGCTCGTCACTACTTTCAACCTAAAGTTAGGTTTGTTACTTATTGAGTACAAGGGGTCGGTTGTACTCATACTACACTTCTGCACCTTGCGTGCAGATGTTGGATGCTGATGTTGCTGTGATCCATGGGAGCTGGATTTGAAGACGTACCCGCATTCCGGTTATAGATGCCTCTTGTTAATGGTAGCCTTAGATTTATAAAAATCTATTTATGTACATTTCGAACAGCCAATGTATTTATTTCACACTAGCTTTATAAACTCTAAATATTAGAAGCTCATGATTTCTACTACCAATCCTTGGGAATTCTTGTATAAAAGCAGTTTTATTATTATTTCTTCCATGAAAAATATCATTAATTTGGATAGTTGTTAATTGCTTACCTCGCGGGTTGGGTTAGGTTCCATCACGACTAGTTGAATTTTGGGCCGTGACAAGTTGGTATCAGAGCTCTAGGTTCATAGGTTCTATAAGTTATGAGCAAGTGTCAAGTAGAGTCTTGTGGATCGGTATGATGACGTCCATACCTATCTTCGAGAGGCTACATGGCATTTAGGATGAATTTCCCATCTTTCTTTCCTTATCGTGCGGCATTGATTCATCTTGAAGCATAACTCTTTGATTTTCTTCCACGCATTCGTACGCGCATGAAAGCGCTCGGTATCAGTTGTATGTTGACGGCTTGTGATTCCATGAATTATGTGAGAGATGTGATTTTTGTGTGCTGATGATGGGCCTGTCTGGAGGACTTGAGGCTGAGTTTTGACTGTAGCTTGAGCACGGGGATTTCGGTTGTGTGAGCACGTGCTTTTGGACTTATGTGTCCCTATGAGTGGAATTTATGGCTCGATGAGTGGTTGGATAGATATATGACAAGTATAATGTGGCTGCAGGAGGTATTCAGATGGATTGAATGTGATGAGATGAGTTTGCTTGAGATGTAAAAAGGGACGATTGAGTGCTTGATTTCTGTCGTGATTTGACGTATAGTTTCAATTTATGGGTGTGTTGAAGGATCTTTCATATTGCTTATTTTTGGGGTGAAGTAGATTTTCATGCCTTGTTATGTGTTCAGACTCAAGAAGAATAAGTGATGGCGTAGTAGTTGTGGTTGTGAAAGGGTATAGAGAAGTGTCAGTTTGAGGCTAGGCAGGTGGGTTATCTCCTGCGGGGTGTCCTGAAGTTGTGTGATTCCCTATGTTGTTTTGTGAAGAGTTCTCTCTTACCAATGGATTATATGTGTTTCAATTTGAGTTTGAATCACTTGAGGATGTTGGCTTGACTGTGACAAGGATGGAAGCGAGATTTGCAGATAATTTGAAATATCATATGGTTGGTATTGTACGAGCTTATGAAGGACTTAGTTGAATCTCACTACGGTATTATGGCAGTAATGGGGTATGGTTATTGTAAGTTATCAGATTTTTTATCACATGGCGTTGAGTCAAGCGGGGGAGTCTGCTATCGACGAGTTGATTACTCGGTTACGTGTTGTACTTGTTTCGGTTTGAGGTATACTTGTGGATCGATTATGACTTGCAGAGTCTGGTTTGGAGGATGACTTAAGTGAGGAATTTCTGGATACGGGTTATGTTACACCTTATGGGTATATGGGAAGCATGGGATGATTGAGTTGTGATTCGTGAAGGATGTAGTGCGCGTGGAGTAGGAAACGCTCGGTTGCTTAAAGGCGAGGATTACTTTTTTGGGTGTTTTCGTGCTAACAAAGCACAGATTGTTCGGCCCGTTTGGTCGGTGCAATTGAGATTTGAGCATAGTGGATGACTCTCGAGAAGATTCTAATGGATTCAAGATTTATATGTAGCAATTGAGAATTTCGCGAATTTGTATATGGTTAGAATCCGATATTTAAGTTGGATGGTGTCGAGACTTGTGACATTTCTATATTGTTATGGATTCTACATTTCAGTATCAAGAAGGCAAAAGAAACAATTTTAGGTTCACATTAGGTCTCTTCATAGAGGGTATCTCGGATGCAGTATTTTGAGTTTAAAATGGGAATACAACGGCTTATGGGCTTTAGGGGCGGTATGGTTTTGATGCTAGGACCTCTTAGGGTGAGCTTTGGGTAAGGATCGTGGTATTCTGGCAAGGAGAAGTTTCAACTTGAGGGTAATTCGGGAGGAGCTCGGAGAAAT